CTGATACTGAGCGAAAAAAAAAAAAAAATCTCTGGTGGGGAAATAGTGTGTTGTCTATAGTGTTTTGAAATAAATGCAAGAAAATTGCCCAAACTGTTTTATACGTCTATACAATTAGTTTCCTTGGATTAGATTAGATAGGATTTTCTTTATTAGATAGTCTTTTGAAAGAAGTTACATAATTTCGAAAAAGCAATTAATTTCCGACCTTGGGTATAACCCGTTCTTTTTTTTTTTTTTTTTTTTTTTTTTTTTCATTGGTGCCGTTAACAATACGTATTTTCAGTTGATTAGTAATGATAGTGGATGACGTTATAGTTGCTGAAAACTTGTATTAGAGAAAAAATATTGACTTTGCCAACCTCCTACTTGCAAAACTTGACCTATTCTATATATATATATTCTACCTTTGAAAGAAAAAAAATAAAATTACGTGTTTTATAATTTTTAGTAAATAATGGACTAAGGAGAAGAATAACTATTTTTATACATCATTCTGATTTATTTAAAGAAAAAGTTATGCAAAATGTCCTTCTGTCCTAGAAAATAAAGAAAAATAATAATAGAAAAATGTATGATAAATGTTATACATTAAACTCACTGTGAATTTCTAGCTATTCCAATAATTGTATTTACCGAGACATATGTATACTCATCATGATTCATCCTTCAAAAAACAATTAAAATGGAGTTAGGGATAAATGCAGTTTTAACATATCGTCTCGAAATTAATTTATCGAACCGAAACTATGTATAATATATAACATGCCAAATTAGAGATTGTCTACAGTACTTCAATTCAGCAGAAAAATATTTATTTTAACACTGTCTCGTAAATTGGAAACTAAAATAACTCATACTGTTCATGATTCAAAAACGTACTTACCTTTGAATCCATTTTTTTTTTTTTTTCGAAAGTAATTCGTAAAATGAAAGATATACCATTTTTGTTGCAAAATAGCACAGGGGTGTACTCACCCTCTTGGCTTACTCCCGAGACGTACCTAATTTATTCTTTACTTTTGCCCACNAATATACTATTTTTTCGCAATAGCGTGCGGAAAATAGGTGTTTTATACACTATTTAAAGTGTGGGAAATCAATTTTCCCGCATAGCGCAAAATCTTTGCCACACACTTTTTCCGCACAGTCGATCAATTTTCTCGCCAAGTGTGCATAAAAGGTGTGTGGTAAAAGTTTTTCTGCACACAGGAAAAAAATTTTCTACACACCAGAAATCTCGTGGGGAACAAATTAGAATACCGTGAGTGTACAACTATCATAACCCTACCTAGTGTGAGTTTCAACTCTCGACTAAAATTCCTTTTTAATGACTTTTTTTGTTAATTCCATTAAACTATATCATATTATAATTTCAGGACGTTTCATTGGGAACCATAATTTTATTGTATTAATGTGGGGTCCTTTAAAAAAATTTGTTACAGTTGTAAAATTCTTTGACAATGTTATTGCTTAAGTAGTTCAAAGTTGATTTTTTACAACAAAATTTTAATTTCATCTAATTTCTGCTTCTGTATTTGAGGCATAAAGTTTTTTTTTTTTTTTTTTTGAACGATCATTGAATATTTTTGCAGTAGTGGGGCTTTGCTCCTCCGTACCGCCCCACCGGGAGCTCCGCCCCCTGGTCCCCCGACACCCCTGGATCCTGTACAACCTTCCTTGCAAATCATCAACATACTTACTATTTTCCTCACACTTATTGCAAAAAATCTTGTACGCAACAAGTACGGAAAAGACGATTTCCCGCACGAGTCGTGATTGACTCGCACTCGTGGTTGGTGACGGTAACTTGTGCGAGTCAATTACGACTCGTGCCAAAAAATCTTATTTTCCGCACTTGTTACTACAATAACTATTATTTACGTCTCAGACACGACTGCTATATTTTTTATCAAATAAAAAAGTAAAAGGAACTGCATTTTTCGTGTATTAAAATGTTTTATTAAGTTTTCAGAGCATGAAACAAACCTGTAAAAAATACATAAAAATATGGAAAAAAGTTATTTAAAAAAAATCTAAAACTATTGTTTTCACAATTTTATGGTATCATGTCAATATTGTACTGTAATTAATTTGAGTTTAACGACTTTGTCCAAACGTTAAAGAATATTTCTTAAACTCCCAAAGTCAAGTCTCGTTATGTTGTCAATATATAATTTTTGAACTACAAATCATTTATTAATAATAATAACTTTTTAGTTTTAATGGAATAGTGTAAACTCAGCCATTTTTACTTGCGTACTACAGGCGTCACCAATACAGCCATACTACGCTAACTAAATAAAAAAAATATACCACTAAGGTTTCAGTTGCGTAATAATTTTAAATTGAGTAAATGATTAAACATAAGGTTATCAAAATTAAAAAAGAAATGTATGGAGACGTTCATTAAAACTATTGGAAAAAGTTATTCATGCATTATTCGTGTATGTATACGTCATCATTTATAATTACTGATAATTACCTCATTACTGATAATTAATATAAAAGAGCTATTAACTATAACCGATCACCTAAACTTATTTTAATTTTATGAAGCTTATATGTTCATCGAGTAGATAATTTATTTATTTTCTCTGTTTACAGAACTAATCAAAAGAATGATCGAATCCGTTAAATTCACTGTTGTGAAAAATACTACGCCCACAACAATTATCACAAAAGAAGAACTTTTAGAAATTGATAACTCAAATATGTCGGCTACATTCATTATAATGATCGATGATCAGTGAGATGAATGTCAGGTGGTAATAATAAAGCCACGTGATGAGAAATTATGAAGAATAGGATGATGGAAGTCTTCCGAGTGAAATCGTTGATTATCATCGAAACTAAAAAAAAAATATGAACAATTATCATCCAGCTATTACAAGAAATATAAATTCAAAGACGAACTAGCAAATTTTATTAGGCATAGTCCTATCTGTAACATCATTAATATCATATACGTGTAAAGCATACGTTGTTTTTCTATAAATTTCCATAAACCAGAAAAAATTTTAAAAAATTTTAAATTCTTTTATCAACCGTGAGACTAAGGAGAAAGGTATACCCTAGACTTGATCTTATAAACGTTCCCTCTAATATGGCCCAGAAGCATTAACTATCGATACCAAAAAAAATAAGGTATATGTCATACTGGCTAGCTCGATCACCTGATATTGTTTTATACAATTAATTTTTAGTTTTTCATAGGCACGTAACCGAGATTATTATTTATGTTTCAGTCACGACATGTACGCTAGACTCATATCTACTTATTGCGTCAGAGCACGCAGATGTTACTCTGTCTATAGAAACGCGTTTGGCACCTTATCGGATGACCTATATATGTCTATTAGATCTGAATAAATTATTTTCTAAATACCTTTATAATTTTAGTCTTCGTAGATTTTCAGCTTACTTGTATTAAACTATTATTTTTTTTAAACTGTTTCTATGAGTNACCAATACAGATATACTACGCTAACTAAATAAAAAAAATATACCACTAAGGTTTCAGTTGCGTAATAATTTTAAATTGAGTAAATGATTAAACATAAGGTTATCAAAATTAAAAAAGAAATGTATGGAGACGTTCATTAAAACTATTGGAAAAAGTTATTCATGCATTATTCGTGTATGTATACGTCATCATTTATAATTACTGATAATTACCTCATTACTGATAATTAATATAAAAGAGCTATTAACTATAACCGATCACCTAAACTTATTTTAATTTTATGAAGCTTATATGTTCATCGAGTAAAAATTTTTTTGAATTCATTTACATATTTGTATGGTAATTGTTTGATCAAATGGCAAATCAACTTAGAATAGTAGGGATGGAGTATTGTGCACTTCGAAAGCGTATAAAAAAGCTGTAACTACTTTGCAATGAGATTGGCTTATTACATTAGAACGTCAAAATGAAGTGTGTAATTTTTCTAGCTATTTTGGCAGTGTCTTTCTCTTTTCTGGACAACAAAGGTAAATTACTTGAAAACTAATTAAAAATATGTTAAGCTAATTTTGTTATACACCTATATTTCAATATCGTTACGTTAGTTATTTTATTAAACATAAAGAATAAATAAAATTTAATTACTATTGCTTTTCTGGCATGGTGACTATCATAATACAATATTTCACAAAACTTATATCACTTTCTTTTTAAGAGTTGAAAATTGGATATAGCTGCCTTTCTGTTAAAAATGCGAATAAATTAACTATTGTATGTTTTTTAATACTTTTGAAGTAAAAATTCAAAATCAGCGGACATGTCAGGGATGAGGCAGAAGATTTTACACAACAGTCATAAACATGTTCTATTACTAATTAATAGTTATGTTAAACGCGTATCGTGCAATCTGTCTTTTTGCATTGGTCCAGTGTAGTTAGCAAAGTTCAGGGTAATCCAAGAGGATTATATATAAATTGTAAAAATGTCATTAACTACCCTGCACTGTTCGTTCTTGACTTCTTGCACTATCTTGCATACGCTGGTTTTATGCATATGTGAATGCAAATCGTACGCAGATATCTGGCCCTCAAACTCCGGCGTCTTTAGCTCAGATCGCACATTGATAAATCTTGCCAACCATCTAGTACGAAAAGTGATCAAATTTCTTCATTTTCCCTTAATTTTAATGGGTATGCTGGACCAACGCGAAAAGTTGTACATACGCTGTGTAAGAAGCTTCATTTTATGATACAAAATGTTTAATACTGTCGTTTGTCGTTGTCTGCCTGATCCCTGATTTGACGTTAATAACAAATAAAATGCTTAAAGTTGTGAGCAAAAATCTCGTATTACATTTATTTTCATAAAGAAATTCAGTACATCCTTTGCTTATTGTGGATTTTGCTAAAAATCTAGTATTTAAACATTTATAATAACGTGAAAAATCATGCAATAACACACCACACCATAATCAAAAGTGGAGCCTCTCACTCGTAATATTTGCAAATTTTGAACTAACTTAGTGCTTATAATTATGGAGGTACCCACGATTTTTAGTGTACACATTTTTTATGTTCAATAGTATGAAAATTGATTATTCTCTGCTTAATTGATGATATCACGGTCATAGTTTCCTTCTCAGATATCTAAAAATTTGGTTACATTCAGGAAATACTCTGAGTTAAAAGAAATTCATTCGTTTGAGAAACTATGTTTGTAAATAAAAATTTAATGTTTAATGTTTTAGTTGTTGGCCTAGAAAGTGAAAATATAATAAACGGTGCAGTTGCAAGAAAAAAACAGTTTCCATACGTCGTTTGGATAGGAGTCGGTTACAAAGAAGAAAAAAAACAAGTATGTGGTGGTGCACTGATCGCTCCTAACATCGTCTTAACAGCGGCTCACTGCATTTATGATGTAAAAAACCAGAAATTTAAAGAAGAACCGTTTTCAGTTGTTTTCCAGTCAATCGATATTTATGAAAATGGCTATTCCATTCCTGTCAGTAAAATTTATTCTCACAAGTTATTCAAACCATTAGAATCATTGCGTTACGACATAGCCGTACTGAGGGTGAGTAACATCCATAATAATAAGGATTAGTTTGTTAATCGTTTTAACGATAATTACAATTTCCTTTTTGTTAATCCATGTTATGTAGCTAAAACAAAGTGTTCGTGTTGGTGGAGAATCACCCAATAAACTAGCATTACTACCAGAAGAACACGAAAAATATTCTGGTAAATTTCTAACTATCATGGGTTTTGGACATGATGGGTTTGATGAAACCATTGATAATGAAACACATGAGAAAAAACACGCTTTGACGACCAGTGGAAAATTGAAATTTGCAACCGTTAAACTCAATGGTTTGTATGATTGTGATGGTCTGCCAGATCGACTGTGTGGCTATGTGAAACAAGGCTCAGATAATACACATAGAACAGCTTGTTTTGTAAGCATATCTTCTTTTTTTCATAAAATATTTTATTTTAATTTTGCATTTACCTTATCTTCGATAAAGTAAAAATCTAATAGCAATAAATGTTTTGATAACCCATAAAAAATATGAAATTCCATCCATAAGTTCAATATGGTTATAATGTTTTATTAAATATTTTGTGAATATTTAGCATATTAAAATAATTTATGGCATTTCAAGTAGTTAAATCTTTTTTGCTTATTTTTTGTTATTGTAAATTTTTCTAGGGTGAGAGTGGAAGTCCTCTTATGCGTAAAAACAAAGTTGTTGGAATTATGACTTACGTAACCAGTATATTGTGCAACACGAATCAAGAAATTGGATTTGCCAGAGTCTCGTACTTTTTAGATTTCATTAAAGGAGCCATAAATGATCAACCAACGAGTGACACATTAATTAAGTTGACAGACGATTATGAACTTATTGAGATTTTAGCACAAAAAGCTGAAATAACAACAAACTCACGAAAACTTAAGGAAGTGTTAAAGAAATTTAATGAAATATTTTTAAAGTATATATCTGTGGACAAAGAGTGTACAAGATTGTCAGAGTTAGATAATCGCGATGAAAACGAGGAAAAAAATTTTGAACAAAAGTGTTCGGAAGCTGATCATTTGTTTAAAGAGTATGAACGTTTGCGTAAAGAAAAAAATGAGTTGTTAAATTCAGAACCGTATTGGTAATATTTTTAAAACCTATTTAAAATCATACATTTGTATCAATTTTTTTAATTTAGCCTCTAGTAGCAATTGTTTTCATTTACTGTAATGTGAATAAAATAAGAACTAGAAAACATTATTAACTTATTATAGGGAATCTTATTTAAAAGAATTAAAAAACAATAATAAAAAAAATGTGTAAGATAAAAGTTTGTATGTAAGCCCTTAAAATAATAAATTAACTCGGAAGCAGTAAAGCAAACTTGGATTGAGTTTTTTTAATTCTATCATTAGTTAATGTTATCCATAGCTGTGAAATTATACTAACATACATATGATATCAAGTTCTATGAATAACCATGAAATAGACCCGGACGAAAATTTTGGGTATGAACATTTTTTTTATTGATATGGATCATTCTTACAAATGCAAAAAATATTTCTGCTAAGATAGCAAAAATTCCCAACTATTAATGAAAAAAAAAGTTTCTCTAACTATTTATCATTACTTTTCATATTTTATCCTACTATCTCACAAAGTGCCACTTTGGGCTCGCCAAAGACTTTGAACATGTCAAATTATAAAATGAAGTCGACATTTTTTTGGTAAATATTTTTATTTTATTTATTGTCTTGGTAGCAACCTGAGCTAAAAACCTAAAAACTATGAAAACTTTTGTTTCCTTTACTATTAATTTTTCATATTTCAAACTACAGGTACTAAATTATAAATCTCATGTGTATTGAAACAAACATTTATAATATAAAAAAAGTTTTTTCTAGAGTAGTTGCNCTTTTATTATAGAAATGCTTCTTTTAAAAAATTTTCTAAAAAAAAATTGTGAAAAGAAAATCTTGTATATTAACCTATAAAACAATAAATCCGACTGAAAGTATTATATAAATTTTGCATTTTGTTTTTTTTAATCCTATAATAAGATCTTCGTAATAGTGTGTGGAAAATGGGTGTTTTCCTCATAATTTTTATTGCGGCAAATTAAATTTCCCACACTGATCATGGAAAAAGTGTCTGGAAAAATATTTTCCGGTGTATGGTAATAATTTTTTTATTTTTCAGTGTGCGGAAAGTATTTTACTACTCATAGAATATTGTGGAATTCAGTAAAAAATAACTTGTACATACTCTCTTTATAAATTTTTGAAATTGTTGTAAATGATACTCCATTCAATTTTAATATTATTTAATTAGACATTAAAAACGTAAAATTTTTGAAATAAAATTTTAATAAAATTAGGTTTATTTACATAGTTTACAAGAAATCAAAATATTTTTTTTAAAGCACGATTACTTTATTTGTAGTGCTGAACAGCCAATAAATTAACAATAGAGTCGTTTGGTTCTCATAAGGACAAAGCTTAGTACAACGTTGCCTTCTGGTGGTAATTTTTTTTATTAATGATATCCTTATTCCATCAAGTATGTTTTTTTTGGTTGGAAAATGGTTATGAAATTGTTTTTAAAAGAACGATCGTTTGGTTTTTTAGATCGAGGGGGCTTCGCTTCCCCCCCTTCCCCCCACCAGGGGATCCTTCTCTGGGCTCCTACCGGGGGCGTTGCCCCCTGGTCCCCCACGAGGGGCTGCTGCCCCTGGACCCCGCACTACCTACTTGCGAATTATTTATTTTTTACTTTAGATTCAACTGTCTTTCAATGATAGATAAATTCATTATATTAATGTTTGTTGTATTCAGCTCGTATAAATAAATAATGCAAAATGCATAAGCATCAAATTTATTATTTAAATTACTTATTTTTAAATTTACATCAATTTTCCTCGTGATTGACTCGCACTTGTGGCTGGTGACGGTAACTCGTATGAGTCAATTACGACTCGTGCCGGAAAATCTTCTTTTCCGTACTTGTAACGTAAATAACTAAAAGCTGATACTAAGACACATATATCATATCTTTTTTTTTTAAACCATTTAACAGATAAGGCAAAAATTTAATAATAGTTATTAAATCTAATACTTGAGCTTTAGCAAAAGAACTGAATTTTTTAAACATGTTTAAGTGTTTTTTATTTAATTTTCAGTCCATAACACAAGTCTTAAAAAAAATACATGAAAAAATATGGAATTATTAAAAATTTTTTTTTAATATTTACAACTTTCGTACTCATGACTTTGTGGTACCATGTCAACCATGCACTGCAATGGATACGATCCTCCATGCTAATTAAAACTATAAAAGAAGTAATAAAAAAAAAAAAAAATCATTTTCGTAGTGTATTCCAATATTTGCTCTAATTTTTGCATTATTACCATGAGAAACAATAAAAAAAAATGTTTAAAAAATATAACATTTTTGATTGTGAAGGCGTGAAAATAACTTTTTTTGCATTCAAAGGGTGATCAAGGTTATACTTTTTTGAAATCTACATTTTTTGTCGATCACATATGGACAAAAATGCCTGCTTAAAAAGTGACCCGCAAAAACTGATTAACATTTTTTTAGAACTATGTAACCTTGGGGCTGGTATAATGTTCCCTTCAATGAAATTTTTCGGATAAAAAACTGTCAGGTTGTGGCACGAAAATAAGGCTAAAAATCACAATTGAGCCCAATTTGATGCAGACTTCTTGAGATGATGAATTGACGTGACTTCATACCTGCATACATTTTGAGAATTTATCAGGTAACGCTCGGATCACTCTCATACTGGTGTCTTACACCAAAAGTAAACGATTCGTGGATGGTTTTACTTTTTGCTTCGGTGAAAATATAGGACACTCCTATGTTAATATATTCGTAATATTAAAAAAAAATTAGAACAATATTGAGCGAACTATTTTACCGCTGTGCCATCCAGATGTTTTATCGTTTTCCTGGTATTTTAATTATATATACTTTTCCCACGAAATCCCGATCTCGTTAGTCCGTCCCGAAGCGTTTACGTTAATTGCTCTCGATAAGACAAAGAAATCCAGCAACGCGGTTGTTTGAAGAAAACGTTGTGTAAAAATATCGGTGAGCGCACGCTTGGGCCAGTCGCAGTTTTCTAAGACCAAGTGCAAGTCTGTGTGTTTTCGTCCTCCCACCTAAAAATGGCTCCTCTAAAGCCACGATTTTTTACCGCCATGCTGGCGTTGTTTTATACCTTCGTTGCAGTACTGGCAGCCTCGAGAGCCACCGAAACGATTTGGCTTGGAAACAAAGAGCCCGGAGAGGTTCTGGTTTGTTCCAAAAAAGTGAACCTACCAGCCAAAAACGACTATCTGCACCACAAATCGGTGGTCTGCGACGTCACCAGGTTCAAATTAATCGGAACGAACGACTTATCGTCGATAAGGGTAATTTTTGATCAGGACAATTTCAAACGAATCGGTGGCGTGACTCTAGTCAATGGCATTTTGAAAATCCGCGTCTACGGCCACGACAGTAAGCCGCTCATCGTCGAGGTCCATGCGTACGCCAAGCTCCATTCCAAATACCACGGAGGTCGTACAAGTTTGTAAATAAAGTAAGTGGATACTCATTAAAATTTATCCCACAGATATTGGCACATGAGTCGGAATTGAAGACAATGTGGTGTTGCACTTGTGGTCAACGTGTGTCAAGTCGTTTTTTGTTCTTGTAAGAATTTCAGGGTAAACGGTCTTTATTTGGTATTCAGTAGTAACGTTACAAAGTGGTATCAAAAAATTTTACATAGGCAATAATCCTTAAAGCAACATGTATGGTTACCCACTTAAGATCAAAAAATCCATAGTTGTCTATAGAGAACAAGAAACGACTAAATATCGACTACGAATTTCGGCTTAGTGATTAACAATAATTGTGTCTATAAATAAATAAATACGATGATAGTTACTAATAAATTATATTGTCAGATATGGCTATTGGTGTGACGCAATTGGATGGCTCCAGAAAACTGTACGAAGAGCATAATAATTATGTGGGATTACATTAAAAGAAGATTATTTACATCACTTTGGCTGTATACCGAGAAAAGAAAAAAATACTTTGTTTTATAAATTGATGTGTTAAAGACTTTGTCGCTGTTATTACTTGGAAATTACTTACAATAAATGTATGTCAATTGTTTATGATGATTTGATCTTCATTGTAAAGTCGTACCTCTAATACAATAATCGCAACTATAAAAATAATGTAACATCGAGTCATTCCTGCATAATTTGCAACAAGGTTTTGATTTATAATCCTTAATAATAAGATTGCAATTCCAGGTATCTGGAATTGTTGCGGATTATGGCCACAGAACGAAAAGGAACTAATTGATTTGTTTGTCCAGCCCAATTTTTTTTTCAACATTAAGATTTCAACATATGTTAGAAGAAATGGCTCCCAAAAATGGGACCTTACATACACGTACCAAGGTCGATAAAAACAGATTTTATTTTATTTTTATCATCAGTCACGACATTTTTCGAGCAATTGTTTAAAACTTTTCACGAAACTTCTACATATTTTCTTTTCTACTTAAAGTTTTTTTTATTGCTGTTCTAATCAGTTTCTTGGAATTTGTTCTCGCTTAATGATAACCGTAACGACTAACGTACATTTTCATCATTAGCAAACACGCATCTCCTTGACGAAAAGCATAGGACTCTTATTTAACGGAAAAAAGTAAATTTATTAGGACCCAATTAAATATAATTACTAGCTGTCGGAAAAGTCAAGACGCGCCAAACTTTTACTTATTATCACATGCACGCGGTGGGTAAAAAAAGTTTTTTTTCGTATTATTTCATCAGATACAAACTTACTTGAAAAAAAAAAAAAAATTACGCTACTGAAAAAAGTAAAAAAAGCCCCAAATCTTCTGTTTCTATAGCCTTCGGCTTCACTTTGGGTGATAATACACACGGATTATCTGAGACATTCTTTGCTTTATCGGTTTTGGTACACAATGCACTATTAATTGCGTTATCCGCCAGCCTAACATTTCTAAATTTTGATATCAGTCCAATGTGCTCAAGCCAAGTATGTTGAACCAGATAAAAAAATTAAACGCTGTATAGGCATAGAAATATTATATTTTATTAAAAATGAAAGAGTTCTGTACATTGTTAGGTTCATTAGTCCGCTCGTTTCGTTAAGTGGATTTTCGATAAGGAGATATGAGTTTATTCGTTACTTCTTAAGTGTTTTAGAAGTTTTTACAGTTATCTCTACTGTATTCGAAGTTGAAAAATATCAAAGAAATAGATTAAAATGATCTTAAAATACTTTAAACAAACCTACAAAATTATACACAAAATCGCCTTCTTTTTAAAAATAAATGTAAGACAGTTATTTTTAAAATAAAAAATAATTTTAATGGGGCGTAGCATGAAAGTCACTAAACTTTAAATACCTTAACTTTTTCTCAATTCCTACAAATGAGCTTTCCGCTAAATTTTGTATTACCTATAAAAATCCTACGTTTGGATGAAATGAGATGCCAGCGATTCCTTAAATTAACAGTACTTAATATTTATTATTTTTTTACATCGCATAAATCACTGTGTGATTTTTACACTCGCACCCTCTACCAACTATATATTATGTGTGGAGGGTGTTGAGCGTAACTCCACTTGTGGAACCCCTTATCTTAATCCTTTAGAGCTTTACCCCGTCAAAAACTCGTTAATCCCAATGCCCTCTCTTTTCCAACTAACTCTTTTGTACCTTTCATTCAATATTTATTTATTAACATTAAAATTTTATCAAGTGTCACAATGATTTAGTTCACGCAAAGTACGTCTAATACAACGAGTCATTGTGAAAAAAATCTTGTCCTCAACGAGAGTGACAAATTTCATTTTCATCATTAAGGGTGCAAAAGATTCAAGTTATTATTATTTCTTTGCGTATCTTAATTTTGTTTCAGAAGTTCTGGAATTTACAGTTATTTAATGACGCAGCGAATGAATGATGAATGAATTTTTTTTAATGTACAGGCATGCACTGGGGTGGGTGACCAAGTCGGTTAAGAAATTTTTTGCATTTTGTGTACAATTGTTTACGAAAAATTCACACACATATTGTGTATTTATTTTGTTAGAAAAAAAAATTGGGAACATAGTACTGAAAAACAAACAAAAAAAAAAAAAAAAGATGAGGTGCAGCACACCTTATCTCGGGATACCATAGGGAGTAGAAGTGACCGTAAAAATTATTAAATATAATACATGAAAATGAAGTATAAAAAAAACTTATGTAATAAAAGTTTATTGCTTTTCAGAGATTCGTATATTCAAATATTTACAACGTTATGTGAGGTTCAACATTATACGTTGATATTTTCAGCATTAAAATGTTCCCGTAATGTTTGTCACTTCTCAGAAAAATTCCAACACCGGAGAGCGGCACTGGTGGGTTGGATTGCACAGAACGGATGTTTATAAAAGGCACAGTGCTTTGTCCAGCATCCATTTCCAAAGTACTCGTGGTAAAGCGCAGATACCGATTCGACGTCAAAGTAGTTTCATAATCGTTTGGATCCTCGAAATTTATTTCAGTCCTAATAAATATGCACACGTAAACGTTTATGTGGAGCAATATGATTCTTTTTAAATGATACAGTATAATAGGGACGAAAGTATCGAAAATAGTTTATACTCTTAAAGTTAATGGAAAAATATAGCCATGATTTTTATAATCAAGACAGTGAAAATGTTTAGTTAATGTATTCTGATTTTATTAACGTGTTTAATATAATATTAAGTTAAATAAAACTGCAAGATTAATAAGTTTATACTATTGTCCATATCAAGACTGATATTCTCTATACTTGATGATAAATAAATTTAAATGTAACAATACATTATTATAAGAATAATAATAAATATTATTATTAAAAAAGTTTCTATTTACTGAACTAAAGAGTAAAAAATAACTTTTATTACATTGAACTTACTGTATATAGTAATTAAAATCAATTGAGTTTTTGAAACATATTTTCACACCTAAGTTTGCAAAACTTTTTTTTTTAAATTTGTTTGTATACTTTTTAGTCCACGTTAAAAATCTTTGAAGCTTGTCAATACAATACCTCATTATGCGACCATTATTATTATCATCATTATTATTATTATTATTACCCTTCGATACCCTCTGGTATATCGAGAATGCTATAAAGTAAAAGTTAACCCATCATTTTGTAATGGCAACCACATTATAGATCCAGTATGATATTAAACACATAATCATATTGTTTTCATGGCCAAAAGCGTATGAAAAATTTCAACGTTATCAGATATGTATCCACAGATGGTGGAAAACATTAGCTTCTCTCAGATAAGCAGAAAGGAAACCAAATTAAATAAACGCTGATGAAAATGAAGCATCAAAAAAAGTCTCATGCACCGCCCCGAATAACAGGTTTGAAGGGGTATTACCTCTCTCGCAGAGTATCGTTATTGGAATACCACTGGCTCGACTCCGCTACCAATTTCCCAGTTGCAAAGTCAAATTCAGTCTCTCGAATTTCCAATTTCAGATAACCGTTAACCTTTTTGAATCGTACTCCCGTTACAACGCGATGTTCCCTGGGTGATTCCACGCTGTCCAGGCACAACGTTCTTTCGCTCCACGAAATCGGATGGAAGTCCTTCCCAGCCGTGACGCTTGGATCGGCTATACCGTATTCGTCCATTTCCTTCCACTGCACCGACGATTCGTCGATCGCTCCGTTCGGCATGAGTTTTCCTTGCTGTATTTGTACGTGCATCACTTGATTTTTCCTTTGAAAACGCACGCCCACGACGACGCTGTAGTGAACAAAAAACATTGCTACGTCACAAATATCCTATTGAAAATTGTGCTGATTACTCTTACTTATTCAAATCCATGTTTGATGTCACTGGTCTCAAATTGAAGTAGCTGTCGTCGTTTGCCGAATTTTCACAGGTACACATGCAATGACTGCACTTGACGAGCCAACGATGCCACGTTTGTACTTTGACGAGGGTATTGTTGCAGCTATCAGTGTTATTGATTCCAACGAAGTTTTGGCCTAGCTTTTTACCTTTCACTTCAATGTATTCGTACCTTGTTTTGGAATTTCCGTTCTGTCGAACAAATTTAAATTTATCATAAAGTCGATGAAATAATTTTCATGCGATTAACAATTTTATATAACGATGTTGCTAACTTTTTTTTTTAATTGATGATAAACAAACTCAAAATAAAATGCGGAAGAAGCATAGATGTCGATTGAAAGTTATAGGGAGGAGTATATGTTGAGACTGAGAATGAGAGATGGAAAGATAAACATACAAAAACAGAATATGTAAATAATGTAATTCCTTTGCCCATAATAAAAAGAAGTTGAGGCACAATAAAGGTGTACTAATTTAGGGATATAGCGATAGAACAACTTGAAAAAAGGACAAAAAAAATTTTAAGTGGCTAAATGTTATTTAATAACAGCATGAGATATAACTAAAAAAAATGAACAAAATAATAAACAATGAAGTGCACAATCATTAAAACACAAAAAATAAACAAACATCATACACCAACTTAGATGCATCGTAAAAGGAAGATGAAGAGCGATGGCATGAAATGAAAAGAAATTGGCTTACAAGTTTTAAACTAATTTGAAATCAAATTGAACGCAAGGACTAAAAAAAGTGACAATAAAATGTGTACAGTGACAAAAACAATTAATTCTTCTGTAGAGGTTCATTTGTAAAGTAAAAAATGTGAAACAACAAACAAACACTTATGTATACGTATGCAAAAAAAAACAAAGACAAAAATAAGGATTCGGAGATACAAGAAAAATACAGAAGCACATATATTATGACTTTTTTTTTTGTAAATAAAAGGATATAAAGATATAGAAAATCACATAAAAGACATCGACATGAAACTTAAGACATAGTTACCAAAAAAAAAAATTCTATGAACGGAGCAAGCTTGAACGTATAAAAATTTTATAAACGGTGGGAAACAAATGTCGATGTATAGAATTACAATTATAGAATAGATAAAATAACAAATATTTTAGAATCAGTAATGCAAAAAAAAAAAAAAAAAAGTATACATTAAAAATAGTTATTTTTTTGAGAAAATGTGGAAAAGAGGCCAATCTATAGTAAAACATGCCTTATAAAATAATAAATTAGTGTACATACCGAAAGACAGAGCTGCATGTCAGATTGAATTTGACTGTCACAATTCCAGAGAGTACCGTTGCATGGCGTCTGATACGCGCAAACGCCCTGATCGTAACACCCGTATAATTTCGTTTTATTGTACTGGGAGCACTTTTTCATGCAAGACTTGCGATCGTTGAGGTCGATCTCGTTCGCCACGTATTTTTGAAATACTCGCATTTTCACGAGCGATGCACCTTCAACGATTGAATCACTTTTGTAAATATACATTTACATTTTTTGTTAGCTCATTCCGTTGCCCGCGAGTACCAAAAATTTGAAAAACATCAAGAATCCACGGCACGTTTTGTTGTTTTCATTTTTTACTGAAATTCGCTCTACCGCCACAATTTCCGATACTAACGTAAGTGATTTTCTCATGACCGGAAAAAACGTATGTCTCGAATTTATTTGATTGTTTTAAAATTAGAAATTAATGTTGAATCAGACGTGTAGAAAATTGAGGTTTAAAAAACTTCAGGTACAAGGTATATTTAATTACATTTCTTACAAAGAAGCCACTGTATACGAACAAAATATCGATCGAAGCAACAATTCACACCTACTCGAACTTAAAATTTTTGACACGTGCCATTATAGTTTAAAACTCGCAACGAAATTTCCGCTGATTATTCAAAGGACTTATAAGTATAAAGTAGACCACCTTCGCGGGGCTCATCCTTATTCAAGTACTCATCGACATCGCACCTCCACATGTCCCGGGAGAGAGAAGCCATGGAGTCTTTGAAGGATTGAAAAGTTTTTCGGTTTCTGGTCACGAATTCAAACTCAATTTGCGTCATTCTCTTTACGACATCTCTGTCCCTCCACAGAGTGGGTGTCCTCTGCAAATCCAACTTATCCTCTCTGCGAAGATGGTCCAGTGCTGAAAACGAAAAAGTATGGGAAAAACCTTTTGTTTTATGGTCACACAGTATACTCAAATGATTGGACAGCAATAGCGATGTACCGTTGAAGAATACTTTGTAAGCTGCCAAGGAGTACTGGCTCGTCGTGTAAACTTGTGCATCGAACAACGCTATTCTTTTGATCAAGTTGAAAATCAATTGCTGCTGCGACTGCCTCAAGTGACTGGGACACACTTTTGCCTAAACAGGCATGAGTACTTGACTCTTTTATTATTCATCTATTCATCAAGTAAATGCAATTCATGCATCGAGATTAATTGTACTTTCTCAACTTAAAATATGATTAAAAAATCACTATTTCAAACTTTATGCTTTAAAAACGTGTTTTTTTAATATTGTGAAGTCAGAAAAACGTTTTCGAAATGTTGTTAAAATGTTTTGAGAAGTTTTGTGCTGTTGGGAAAGTATACAGTTATATAGACGAATGGTGGCGATATTTTACTTTAAACTAGTATATGTTTCAGTACTTCCAACAGATATATTGTTTTTTTTTTTTTTTTTTTTTTTTTTTTTTTTTTTTTTTTAAACGAAAGCGACGGTGAAATATAGTGGTGCGAAAGTGTCAAATATTTTTGTTGCAAAATATTAACAATGATAATTAAGAAATGATTTCTGGTACTAGGTACACTAAAGTATGAAATTCTCCAAGTGACTTATTTTCATTGATCCATTCGTACGGTTAATTAGTGAAATGTCACGACTAATTTCTTGGTTGTATCTAGACTCAAGTCCAAATAGTAAAAATTGAAGGTAGGAATAGGAATATCTTGAAACTACTATCCTCAAAATAGGAAAGTCTCGAAATTACTATTTAAGAATAGTAGTTTTGAGAACTTCCTCTTTTGAAATGATTAAAAAGCCGAAAACCCTATTTTCAAAAGAGGAAACTAGGATTTCCTGTTCTGAAAATGGTAAAAACGTAAAATTACTCTTTTTAAAGTTTCCTCTTGTGAAAATAGGTAAAATTTCGGCGTTTTTCCTCTTTACAATAGAGGAAATTCTCAAAACTGCCATTCTTAAGATTTCCCTATTTTCAGAATAGTATAGTTTCGAGATATTCCTACCCTCAATTTTTTACCATTCGCACTTGAGAGTATATAATATACTTTCGAAATCGTGGTGGATCATACAAATACTATTATATTTTTGGAGTGGAGATTATTAACCTGAGTCCCGTCATTGCTCATGAAACTGAGCACGCTCTCGTTGTTCTGATCAACCGCTACGGGCAAATTGTGCAATTTCCCTATGATGTCCCCGTAGGATTGGTCGCGAAACAAGTGTCGGCTGTTGTCTTCGACGAAGGGGTACAGAAAGGCGGGCAGTACGCGCAGCTCGTTCACCGGGTACTTGTGGAAGGCGTCCGAGAGCGCCCTGTCCTCGTAAAGGTCGTCCAGGGCGTACCGGACGTCCAAGTCGCGGAACACCTCCTCGCTGAGCTGGTGAAACTCGAGGGCGGCGAGCTTCACGGAGTCCGGGGCGCGGCCGACAACTGCGGAGGTGTCGTCGACGAACGTGCCGGCTTGCGCTGTTTTTCTCCTGCGGCAGAACGCGAAGAATATTTCGGATATGCTCTTCAGCTTGTCGTTCGCTTCGGCCAAGCTCGAGTACGAGTGCGTTTTTTCGATCTCCCCCAGCATTTTTCTACTCGCGGCCAGGGCGTCTTCCGTTATGTTCAATAAGCCCTCGACTCGGTGGCCCACGGACACCAACAGCAAAACGAGCACAAGGACCTTTACGCTTGACATGATGGTGACTCGATCGACAACTCGTACGCGGATTCTGAAACAATAGTATATAGGTATTAGTGCATGCGTTGCATGTGATATTCGGATGTTGCTGCGGCCTCAAAAGCCTCATACCGGTTGGACGTGTCGGACGCTCTATGTTCATTGTTTGGAATACAGAGCATGTTACAATGATACAGTTTTTTTTTTTTTTTTTTTTTTTTTCATACATATATATACCCGCTTATATATTCAGATTATAATTGGACCGAATGCGAAGTGAGTTTATCATGTCAAGAAAACAATAATAAGGAGTGATGAGGTCAAATAATAGGGAAACGTCAAATAATTTGAGTTTTTGTTTTCTATATGCATGACTGTTTTTGTAAAATTACGTATAAGTTGATAGTATAATGTTAACGAGTAACTATAGTAATGTGCGTTCATCGCGTGAAAACATTTGGATTTTTTCGTAAACTTACATGAAATTTATCGTATTATTTATTACAGTTGGAATTGATTAACATTTTGATTATGTACGTATCATTGATAAAAAGCACTTCGTGACACCAATTATGTAACTCTTTTTGTGTTCATGTGACGCACAATTTTTATGAAATAATCACTTATTTTAATGTCAACTTCAGCATGTATGGAAGATACAGTACAGCGACCCTTGCTCTCCGGCACACAGGAAGAAACTGAGAGTAAATTCACTATCTAATCAAACGTGATTCATTTCAGCTCGAGAACGTCCAAGTTTCCATGCTGTTTTGTTGCAACGTATATATAGCTCAACGATTTATTTGCCTAGAAATTATTTTCAAACAAGCACACAAGATAACAATACAAATACAATTTGTAGAAAGAAAAAAATCATCATTATTTATACTAATACATAGTGATTAAAGAAGAACTGCAGGTGTAAATCTTTTTTCCATTCTGAAAATTATTGTAGGTTTAATATGTTACCGCAATTGTCAAAAAAACTAATAAAATTCTGGACGAAAGAGGATTACGTATAAAAATGAATGAAGTAATAATAGATTTGGTACCTGGTGGTATACATGTCACCTGGACAAGTACCAGATCCGAGGGACTCCTTGTGCTTCCCTTAAACCTAAACGTGCAAAACTTCATCAACCATTTCAACTTCAGTCGTGAGAACCATTTTTTAGTTCTTCAATAAAAATACAATTGTTGATATGTACATGTATTTTGATCTAAAATTTCAACGAAAAAAAATGAGATACAAGAAAAACTTGTCATTGTTTATATTTTTATATTCATACAAAGACTAAACTGTGTTTTGGTGTTAAAAAAGAAGCATCATATCTCCATTCGTATCTAATAAATGCACAACATAGAACATACCAAGATCATGGGTATGTGATATACATTGGGTTCGAAATTTGTTTTACTCCAGAAAAAGACGATTTGTGCATTATGCCCTTATTTCTTCGTTAAAAACAAAGGGTACTCCTGTGGTGCAATCGTAATTAAAATACATCAAAGAAATGACAACATACTCAAAGGCTACTACCGATAAGTCAAAGCAAAGTAGGATGAAGAGAACAGTACAACTTTCTGACACACTTTCTCTTATCTGCAAACTGGACGGCTCATATACGTACATGCTAAATTTCAAATGGTGATTACGTAATCATTGTGACCGCAATCTCGTTTAAGTTATTAACAAAAATGCAAAAAAAAAAAAAAAAATAACATACAATCGATAAAATAAAAAATAATAATGAATCCTCGTAGGAGTACGTCACTGTTACACCGAATCGTTTCCAAAACTTTTTTTCTGCACAATGTAAAATGGCACTCTTGTTTTCTCCCTCACATTTAAATAACTGTTTTATTCACCTTTTAATAAGGTCCATTTTTGTGAGACTGTACGGAAAGCAGCTTCTGGCGTTGCATATATTATGACGTTTACAGTGTGAAAAATATATGTCTACATAGTTTCTACTACTGACATATAAGAGTTTCCATGTACGTATAGGCATATTAACGGCTGTTTTTTCATTTTTACGTAGCTTCACAAGCTCGTGCATCCACCAAAATTATTGAACGCAAAGCGAATATTTGAACTATCGATGAAAAAAAAATTTCTTGTTCAGGTCACAACAAAGCCTAGAAAAACCGCAGACACGTGAGAAGTTACCCCAAACTATAGTTTCATCACGCGAGCACAACTTAATTTCTTTTTTCGTGGCAGCCCAATTGCAAATCCTAATTTAGCATCAGAACGTTAAAATAAACATAGTTTCTCATTTATATAGCGATCAATTTCGAATTCTTCGTGAAGCTGTTCATAAGTTTTTTTCTCGCGAGCAAATTCTATGACCTTATATTGTATTAGTAGATACGTAAATCACAATTAATGGACAACTGAGTAACATGTAATTTTTTCTTTGTCCCCAATTTGTGAGAATCGATCCATGGGCTTGACGGACGGTTGGGCGATGTGTATTAATACGTAATATCACAACATCGTTATTTGAATTTACTACAAACAAATTGAGGACATTCGTGTAGGCTATAATAATAATTGAACGAGATAGAATATATTGCATTACTTGAAGTATAGATGCCAAAAATGTGTTAAGAGTAAAATCGATAAGTTTGGGCAACGGGTTGCGAGATGCATCCATTAAAAATTATAACAAATATTTGCAAAAAGGAACTCACTTTAATTTTCGACATTAGATATAAATTTTGATACAATTTTACAAAGTTTTTCTGTAAATATAAAATAACGTAATTTTTTGATGTATAAAAATAATTTTTACTTAGTCAATGGGAATACTACCAAATCAATAAACTCTAATTGGCTATTTCATAAATGAATGGATATTTTCGGGGTCGCAGAAGGGTCATCATACAAATATTTTAAATATTTCAATGCAGTGTAGACTATGGTATGAAAAATTTATGGCAAAAATTGAGAATAAAAAAATTTTTGTACTTTTACAACCCGCAGAACAAAAACCTGCTAACGATAGCTTATGACCTACCACATCAGCATTATTTTAATAAAATATTTAATTGATGAATTTTTCACTCTTCCAATCATTTATGCAACGTTTGCACTACTATTCGTAGTACAATTTCTGTATATTCGATCACTTGCAAAGTAAAGTTCTTTACAAAAGACGCCTCGCACTTTAAGCTGTTCGACTCAATAAGATCGAAAAATGGATTTATTAACTAATCCTTACTATAAATTAAACTTTAAATTTTTAAAATATGTTGGTTTGGTAACTAGGGATAACAATGCAAAAACTGTTTTAAAAAGAATAATAACCATAACTTATGTAACGAGCATATTGATAGCTCTAGTTAGTAGTTTTTATCAGAAAATGTACATATCAAAAATGCATTTTATACTGTTTTTGAGCATTTAAATACAGGTTCAGTGCTACAATACAATTTTTCTAAATACAAAAATCACATGACACGTACATAGCATATAAAATAAGACATTCGTTGTGTCTACTGAGTCATTGTAATTATGTCACTACGTATAAATAGTCTATATATATATATTTTGTAGAACGAATTTTGGTCTCATGACGCATGTTACGTTACGTATCCACTTTAACGTGTATTTCGATTATCTCAAAAAGTTGACAACCATTTAAGGTTGCATGTTCAAAAGATTACATAGAAAAATAATTTACCAGCCATAGATATTGTGCTAAAAATTAAAAAAAAATATATATCAGTTTTTTACGTGTTTTTATTGACATTTTAGGTCCATGTCAAAAGCTTTACATTTCGAAAAGAAACTTTTGATTGTTTGAGTAAAATCAAGCGGATCAGTAAAGGCAAGGGGATGCATAACGTTGGTAGATAATTAAAACTTTTTACAGGCTATCAGATTTGTAGAAGAATGGGGTCATCACATTGATGTATGCTTTGAAATCAGCAGTTTCTCAATATATTTTTTGGGGACCCTTTTTAAATACAGTTTGTTCTTACTCAACAAAAAAAAGGTACGTTATAATTAATTTTGCACCATCGTTGCACCAAAATTGCATGTGTAATTATCAAAGCACCTTGTAACATATTTTTCCATAATTTGTCTATAAAGTCGACAAGTATTTAATAATTCAGAAAAAATGACAACACAAAATGCGTACATTGTATATCATAATTGACACTCAATGTCCAAGATGTTACAAAACTAATTGTAAATTTAAGATAATAAGTATATGTTTAGAATATATTAATGTATATTTTCTTCAACTGCTTATTTAATAAGTAAAAAAAATCATTATATTTTTAAAATCTCAGTAGACTTATGATGCACTCATTTCTATTTGATTAAACTAAAAACCTAAACATAACGATAAAATAACTAAAGAAACTCTATATTACACTTATATTATGTACTTGAAACCAAAATTATCAGAATTTAAATAGAATCAATGACGTGAAAACCAAACCATAAATGTTACGGTTTAGCCTATAATGTTAAAGCATGTCTAAACAATACATTTTTAGTATGACTCACTGAAATGAGAATAATTGGTTTGTTAGCTCAGACAAAAGTTAAACAAAACCTTTCATTTTTTTTATTATAATTATTTGAGTGTAATAACCTAACATATTAAATTATTCAATAAATTAATCTTAATCGATACGAAAGATTGATAAATACATTATCTTTGATAATATTTCAATTTTATTTTACTTTTTCTTTATTTAACTAAATGTAGATGGACTATTTAATTGAAGAAACTTCAAGTCATTGGAGGACTTTTGACGTTAGCGAACTACAGATTTTACGCAAACATGGAAATTATGGACGGACCTTAACGATTGCATATGCAGGTAATATTAACATTATTACATTGGTAATTTTTTCAAGCTCACACGAACTGCCGGCGGTCGAAAGATTGACACTTACGTCTTTTTTCTCACGTTATACATATCTTAATAAGACTCCTCCAAATTTATGCAACGTTTTTTACGCTTTGTAGTAAAAATCAGAAATTATTTTACCATAGTGGTCACACAGTAACCCACACGTGTTTGAATAGGTTATGTGCGTTTAAGGAAACCCAAGAAACGTAGACTTCTAACGTCCATCTTAAAAAAATCACGTGCGACGTTGATAAGGGTAGGCAGGCTGTCAGAGGCGGGAGCAGTGCAGGTCTCCAAAAAGCGGAACCATAAATTTATACCAAGCCATCTAAACAATAAATCGAATAAATAACCAATAACCTAAGCTCCCAAAATCACGCGACCCAATAGACTCAAAACAAAATAAACGAGAAGAAGCAAATTAACAATTTATTGATTTTTATGGACGAATAAATAACTGCATAAATACATTTGTAGTTTGTCCACTGATAATATTGTTACGTACGATATCATATAGAGCTATGTGTCCGTGGGCCCCTCCTAGTTTGGGCCCTAAAAGATAGAAGAGCAGGGAAGATAAGGCGATAGAAGCTGAGAGTGAGGGACAGTCGGAGAACACCTAGCAAGAAGAGAGTCGGTCGAGAGTAAAGGGTATAGGTCCTTGGCTTCGAACGGTTGAGCTCAGGGCACCTCTTCTCTCGTTTTGATATTTATAAAGTACTTGATCCTAACTCCTTGTAGTTATTTCGTTAGCAATCCCAGGCCATAGAACCCCACGTAACAATATAGTCAATTATATGGTTTTTCCACCAAGTAATGTCAATTTTCATTTGCAAATTCACGTAGAAATTTTAATAAAAAGTTAATTAGTTATTATATTAATTAATGTTTATTTCATTACTTTGCAACCATACAAAATAAGTCCATAACCCAAGCTCTCGATCAAAACCCAATGACCCAATGACATGAGAAAACTAATGAATTATTATTTATTCATTTATCAATAATTAATTGCATGGATATATTTTTAGTCCGTTCACAGATATATGTACTCCCGGGATAATTCAGAAAATAAAATGAATGAATACAGGAGAAGAGGGATTGAACCACGGTTGTGTTGGTACACGCGAAAATCTTGTTTATCCCACATAATGAAAAAAAAAACTTGCGTTTCGCAGGCATGATAGAACATACAAACACTAAGACATGCTTATAAATTTTACTCGACAGTACTTTTACTACTTCATTGATTGAAGATATTCATTTTTTTTACAGTTATACTGCACTCCACTGCAGTCATTTTCTTTGTCGAACCACTAATACCTTCTATTCTTGATTTTATAAATCCTCTTGATAAAATAAGAGCAAAACGACTTCACTATCCCATCGAAGTGTTCATTGACAGGAAAAAATATTACGTCGAACTCACTGTGTACAATACGTTTGCTCTTTTTCTTGCTATGCAAGTGCACATAACGTTTGACACATTCATACTACAATTAACCCAACACTTGTGCGCACTGTTTGTCATTGTTCAGTAAGTGTAAAACTTTTGTGGCTACATAATTTTTTTTTTTTTTTTCATAACAATAAGCTGGCATTGAACATTTTTTAATACTTTCAGGTATAGGATAAACGCCGCGACAAAAGCAAGTGTTGATCATAATAATGAAAATAAAAATGATAACGATAGTACAACTTACAAAATGATAACTCAGGCCATCATTTTACATAAAACAACTTTCAGGTAATGTTACAATGCATAAAAAAACCTTAGGGGAACACTATTTTTCCTGCCGAGGTTGCATAAAGCGTCCAAATGTCACGAAAAACGCCCAGGGTTAAAAAAAAAAATAAATTATGATAACTATTGTACAGTATATTCTGACAGAAACGTGTTTTCCAAGTTACCTATTTACTGCCTCTTTGCTTGAAAAATAATTATGACATAGCTAATGTGCGTCCCATCAGAGCACAGTGGCAAGGGACCCTTGGGTGTTGCTTAAAACCAGAAACTTGTTATCATTTGTCCCACGAGTCCTCTAAAATTGTGAATTTGTATAAATGTAGTAACAAATATTTTTCAGCTATCACGAGCTTCTGGACGATTCTTACAAAATTGGATTGATTTGCTTGTTGATTTTAAACATGACGGTAATTACTGTGGTGGCAGTATGCGTAAGTACGAAACATAATGGCTTTTAGATTAAGAGTATACCTGTATAAAGTAAACAGCAAAAGTCTTGAGGGAAAATTGATTTTCATTAGGTTCCGATTTTCATGCTCAATGAAAATGTGACGATGGTTTTAAGAACTATAGCCCTGTACATTGTGGCCTTGGTACATCTTTGGTTCTACATGGAACTTAGCCAAAAAGTCTGTGATAGCAGTTTGCAAGTACAAAATACTGCGTGAGTGGATTCCTCACTTTTTTTAATGTTAAATCATTTTCCCGTTTATCATTTGCGACAGTATACACATTTACATACACGTATGAATAATGGAGCTACTATTAGTAGTGTGGGTTTTGTGATTTGTTCGAAAATTTGTGATTTTTCGAACTACCGAAAAAAAAAATTTTTTTGCCAATATTAAATATTTACAACTTCTGATCTACTTGTTTTTTTTTTTTTATTATGTTTTAAAAATAATACAATTTTTTTAAGACTTACTTTACTTTAATTGGCAAAATAAGTGAATCAGAAATTTAATAAACTCAAAAAATGTAACAAAAAATTTTCGACCTTAACTTTTTTTTTCTGATCACAAAGCGATTACTTCGTTTACGAAATTATCATCCAGTTATTAAATTTATATTTATTCAAAAAGACTTTTTGTGCAACGCGTGACATTTCATTGGACTTATTTAAATTTCTAGTTTCCATAGCGATTGGTACCACACATCACCGAAAGTCAAACAATGTCTTCAAATAATGATGTGGCGAAGTTTAAGACCATGCACGTTGACCGCTGGAAAATGGATAGCTTTCAATAGAGAAAATTTTGCGAAAGTACGAATTTAATTAAAAGTTTATGAAAAAAAGTACAAACAAATCATACACAAATGAAATTCTTTATTGTTTACAGCTTGTTAAAACTTCAATCTCTTATGCAGCAATGATTCATTCCGTTAATGAAGTAAAAAGTTAAATAAACAAATGAAAATTCTCAACTATTTTTCGTATACACTTGTAATTAGCCAAATTCAATTGCACTTGAAACGAACTAATGTCACACTGATGTGTAGTAAATAATAATAAATAATAATAACTTCAAAAAAATTAAGTAATGACTACAAATAAAATGTATTGACTGAATTTGAACAATAACTTTGTTTCTCTTTTTCTAATGTGTACAGTCTATTTTGGAATTTTATTACGCTGCACTTTGGTATCAGACCCTTACGTTACAGTGCAGCGTGGAAACAATCGATATTGCGTATTAAAAGTACCCATTTATGAAATAAAATGAATAAGGATAGTTTTCGCAGACAAACGAATGGACTAATGTTTGTAAGAAACCTCGACTTATTTTATTTCTTTTGTAATAAATTGTAATCATGATTACTTTCAATCATTATTTATATTTATCTTTTATTTTATTTTCAGCTACCAATTCCGCACCTAGAAAATTAAAGGTGTGGAGTGCTCTACTCTAAACCCGGCCTTTGTCGCCACCCTCCAATCATTAAGTTGAAAATAATAAGCGCCAATTAACTATAGAAAAACGATACTTTGTTTTCTCATACAATAGTTTTTTTTTCATTTAAAATCGAAGTAACACATGTGCAATTCATTTTTTCTTTCACTGTTCCTAAGACTCCACATATTTTTAGTTACTGTTATTATTATTATTTTTATTGTTATTGTTATTATTAAATGTTATTATTATTACTATTATTATTTATTGTTATTATTATCATTGCTTTTATTTGTATTATTCTATATCACTTGCAATAGTTTGAAAATCGTAAATGCCGTAACGGTATAGATATATATTTAGTAAGTACTTAGATAGATTATTTTATAATTGTACGTACTATGTAATGTATTCGACTGGATTTCGAGTATTTAGTTCCAAATAAAGGAATTGAAATTCAATTCAATTCAATTCACATCATGTGAATTTGTACGATATTTTTTGTTAAAATCATTACACTAAACATCAAGCAACACCAAGCCATTTCCTTACTTTTGACAGTCCTGATAACCAAACATTTGTTTTCAAGAGATAAAATGTATAATGAAGCCATTGACGCATCAACGGTTGATAAATTATTCCTAGTGCTAAAAGCTACGCACTACTTAAAATTCAATTTTCATTACATAAGAACACTTTTGTTTCTTAGTAGCTTAGCTCAATTGCGAACCCTCATTAATTTGTACAATGTTGTAATTAATGTAACTTAATTAAATAAGAATTTTTTTCTCATTTTTGTATTACAGTCCTACCTGAAAAGACACGGAAATCTCATTCCGCAGGCAACTAAATCATACGTTATTTTTTCTTCGATTTTATTTTCCGAGAATTGATTAAGTATGTAGCTAATAGACAGTTTCACGATACGTATACGATATGTAATATAACAATACCATTATTGCAATGCGATGTAATACAGAATAAGGTGATCGATACAGACTAGTAATAATACTCATTTAGACACAGAAAATATGAAGCTTCGGTTCAAATTGGAAGAGGGTATTATGGAATATAATTACCTAATTAATTTTATTTCGTGGTAGAGTGACTTTATGAGTATGAATTCAAATTATGTATTACGAGTTCTTGCTTTGCATTGCAGCTAAATAGCACTGTTAGTTGTGAGATATATTCATTAAAAAATAATAATTGTAAATATGCATACAATATCAAGGAATAATTGGATAGGAATCTCAATATCGAATAAAATTATCATATAACCTTATTTTTTTTCAATCAAGGTGATTCCTCTTTAAAAAAAAAAAGTATTACTAATTTTAATTCAACTAAATCAACAAAAACAGGAGTAGCTTTTTCCAGTCCTAGAAATGCTAGTTATTTCACTCTACACACCAGCCTTCTTACATTTACTTTTCCCATTTGAAAGTGTTCAGTTTAGTAGAAGTACGATGAAACAGTTGGTGCACTATAAATTTGGTTATTCTAACAACTCTTATCAACAAAATTGCAGTAACCTTTATAAAAAAGAGAAATTTAAACTATGTACTTCAAACGTTTACTTTAACTCGCTTAGTTTCATAGTGCAAGACCCTTTTTTTAAAAAAGCTCCAAGTAACACTTCAAACCACTTCAAAACTTCAACATCTTTGTACGACCTTGTCAAATGGTGTTGACTCGTCAAGGGTAAAGTTTCATGTAAATTGTTTGGATGTAGATTTGTATGTGCCTAATAGCAAATCCTCAGTTCAAGTCTAATCGTGATATCGGAAAAAATGACGATCAATGATACGTTGAGAAAAATAATTCTTCGTAATTCTTTACAGGTATCACAAGTTCAATAAGGACACCCGGAATCACAACTTTGACCGACCAAATTCTGCGTAATAGCAACAAAATAAGATATGAACCTTATTGATGTCTACTATACAGTTAATAATCAAGGAGAGAGCTAGCTTCGGAGAATTCAAGAATATATAGAAGACATCACGATACCCACACTAATAAATCTTGGTTAGTAATGAGGAATAGTTAATTGTAATCCCTATTTAAAATGACATCACGTAGGAGAGGTTGTATCTTGGTTGGGAGCCAATCCGAGGTACGGCTGTTCTCCAGTGGGACGAGGATTAGATTACCGAATAGGATGACTTCAAAAGATGAATCTGGCTGGGATTTGTTGTCAAGCCTCACGTCTGTAAGGTCGAATGAGGGTGGAAATAGGTAGGGGTTTAAAAGGGTTAGGATTAGGGATTAGTCGAGGACTTAGGATCAATCAACAACCTCCACATAGAGGTAATATAGAGGGTGATGGTAAAAATCATTCAAGTAAAGTAAAGGTTGAAAAAATACGACTTATTTAGTAATTTAAAAAAAAACCTTGTTATTGAATTGAAAAAAAAAATGTGTTTGGAGGAATTATTCCACATGGGAAAAACCATTCGGGTAATTTTCCTCGTGTTGAAACTTTTGAAACGCCATACCTGGAAACTATTATCAATACTTCAAAATGTTAAGAAGATTTATGAGCTAGAACTTCGGAAGCATCTAAACATCATCTTCGATCTTTCGAAACATATGGGCGCTGCTTCTACGGGGAACTTTTCACCTAAAAAAACCCACGAGGAATACTGCCCAGTAATTTTTTCCACATGACCTTGGCTGAGGTATGACATGACGGATAACTTATTAGAAAACAATAAAATTAACCAAACGATCGCAAAGGAAACTTTTGGTTTCTACATGCCAAACCTTATATTTATGTTTTACCTCTATAAAAATGTATAGCCTCTTAACTTAAGTTACGCGTGCCAAGGGAGGATTAGTTAATTAACAAACAGTGCTGTTACACCTGCTACAAAATGCATCATAAAATACCATGGAAATGAGAGAGAAACCTGAGGATTAAGTCTTATGCGGTGTCGAACATTTCGTAATGAACGTCACTTGGTTTAATATAATATTTTGACTTAGTTCGAGACTCAGTTCGATACGTCAAGCCTTCGATTTCTGTCTTGTTAGTTTTATTACCTCGATCCATTATGCCACATTAAATATTTCTTGTAAATGTAATCGATGGAAACTTTTGAGGTACCCTTCTTATGGTAAGCCTTAAGTATATCACAATAACCTACTAAGAAAGAGTTATGAGGACAAAGCTCAAGGGTTCGATTCCCGGTCGGGGCATTCAGATGGTCTTTTCCGGAATCCAATTCATGACACCGACTTAGGATCAAGGATTACTTTTAAATGAAAAAAAAAAGGAAATAAAAGTTAAAAAGAATTGTGATGTGTTCTCGATATCCGGTCATGCGTGATCGGGGAGATGACTTGAGATAGATAAGATGTAAGAAAACAGCGAATAAGTACATAAAAATGTAAATGACAAGCGAAAAATAAAAGTGATTATAATATGTAACAATGATATGATACCACGAATATTATTGTATGTAAAAAGAGTAAAAAGTTATAAGAGCATGTGGAAAAAAACCATGGAAGCTCAGACCCTCATACCTTGAGACTCAGGGATCAGAAACCTTTTTGTTTCAGTATGTGTGGCGATATCTATTAATGCTTTTGCTATGTCACACGTTACAGGGGCCCTATATCCTCTAAGCGTGTCAGCATAACACAGAGATATCGTGATATAGAAAACGAAAACACATACAAAGCGTACTATCTTTTCCAAAAATACACTGCAACAAGCCCATTTCACAATTAAGTAGCAGGTAACAGCGGGTTAATTTAATTAGTGATTACAAATTCATACGTATATTTAAAAAAACTCAAAATTAACCAATACAAAGTGTATTATTTCCTATGTATCCATCGTTTGCAATTATGCAGTATGCTTCTAACAAGTGTGAATCTTTTCTGTTAAGTACTTATTAATGCACGAAAATATAAACAATAATCATAACAGGAAATAGCTAATAAAGCATGGAAAAATAAACATTGAAAATTGTCATTAAAACTATGTGCATATAAAAACTGTAAAGTTAAGGTTATGGATCAGAAACTTACCAGACGATAGATTAGACCTTAGTATTTTTGTTTTGTTATTTTTACTAAAATAATATATTAATAGTACTATTACACTAAATAATAATATTTTGTGGATAAGGCTGATTTCTGTTTCAAAATTTAACAATTCAATCACCAACACAGTGTATGATATTACAGAATATTGTAACTATCTTATAATTTTTTTGCATGGCATTATGCATTGTGAATATTTTTTAAATTCATATCTTATTTACATATGCAGCCAAATGTTGTATTATCTGTCAAACTGACTCAAATGTATTTATTACTACTATTCGATCATTAAATACAGAACCAAGTACCTTAAAAAATTGTTATCATTCAACATCTCATTTGATCAGATAATTAATATTAATAGTAACTCGGAGATAAATTTGTGAACTCACGAACTCTTGCAATAAGTTTATCATAATAAAATATTTCAAGAACTTTTCATCAAATTCTATTTAAAATTAAAACAGCCTTGTAAAAGTACAACAAAAATTTTTTATTAAAACAGTTAATAAATAATTATTGATATACAAATTAAAAATTGCAATATACGGTGTTATGACTAATAAATGTACAGAAAATATGAAAATGAAATGTGTCAATAACTCGATATAGAATTCGGTATTGAGACATACGATATACCTATTGTATTGGTAATGTCTCGAGCAATATAAAAAAAAGGCACCTTTTTTCTGAAGTACCAATTGTAAATAACTACTACCATGTAAGAAAACATTGTGGTGCGCATGCGCACAAAATATTTGTTGCTGCTGTGTTACGTGTCAGTCTGTGACTCTGTGTATATTATCTCACTGACCGACACGCAGGACACGCTTAGAGGATGGAGCCCCAGTCACAATCTCCCTTTGTGACAAAAGGCTTTGTCTCACATCACTCAAATGTTGTACACATGTCAGCTCTGCTCTGATTGGGGATTTCCCGCTTTGCATAAGTAACCCGTTCGTGTTTAGGTTGCAACACCAACGATAATCAACAATCAACCCTTCAGATCATAATACCAAAAGCATCAACTACGAATGTAGACATATGTACCTACATTAATTGGTATTAAATTACATTTACCGAACTGAAGACTAAGGTAAATAGGTACACAAGATCTGAGGATTCCTTACTTGCTCCCGTGATGAGTAAGTACAAAGGTTTTTTTTTTTTTTTTTTTTTTATTCTTAATTCAATCAAAAGCAACACTTTTGCTCCCGTTCCTGTAAAAAATTACTCAATTTACAATTGAAATATTATATTACAGCTGGGCACGCTATAAAAGTAATCGATGCTTCTGATCTGCAAACTAATTTTAAGAACAAACTAAAGAAATAATTATGTCGAGTTCCTATTTACTAATGTTTACTGACAAACCATTTAAACTTCACATGGTAGGTAATAGAATTAGTTAACTTTTAGACCAACCATTTCAAAAAATACAAACCGCAGCGCAGGTTACGGAATTAGATGGTGTCGGTAAAGTAGAGGTCTGCAATAGTCTGCAGAATCCCCTAAAAACTAGCTTATAAGCTTATTAAAAATAAAATTTCTTACAGGCAATGACAATCATTCATCGAATTTCAAGGAGGAGGCAACGATATCTTTGACAAAAATCATATGATACACTCTCAATGTTATACGCATCGGGATCCACTTTAACTGTTAATGGTAAAATTAATTTTTGTTAACATCCGAAAATACGTGCAGCTTATCGACATTTGCCAGGTAATACAATATGTCTGTGGTAATACAATATTTGCCGTACAAAGAGGATACTTGCTAGCCGATATACCTATATACCAAAATAAAAACCATCAGATGCAATATATAGGTACTTGGAATATTTGTTTCGTTTGGAGAAAGCGCGTATACTTACTTGAACCTGGACATTGTAGGAGTTGTAGATCTTTCCCGTTTGCGTTAACATAATACGTTTTGCATGGACCAACATACCAGAGCTATAATTATATATAATAATCTTTTTGACGCGCATTCAGTCGAACGACTCAAATGTCAGCACACTCGGAATTTAGGACTCTCATTACGCTACTTATGTTACATCTCATGTTATTTATGGTAAAGATGGGAATGAACGATGTAAAAGTAAATTCTGAAACCGAATATTCCACAGCAGAAGATAAATGGTATATCCTAGGCAAGGTCATTACCCCATCATCTTCTAGGTACTTAGCTGTATAAAGCGTTCTTAGTGAACAATGTGAACATGATAACTTTTCTTTCTTGTTTACTGTAGGCCTAGTTGTCTACTGGTAAGTTTACTCATTAGACTCATTAGGTGACTAGAGGAAACGAAGAAGAAGAAGAGGACGTTACATCATGAAGTAGAAGTGTGTGGTAATATATCTTAGGACGACCGGACGACGACGACGACGATCACCTGTCCGTCCGCGCGTTGTCCACGATTCGTGCACCCGTGGTTCATGCCATCTCTTTTTGATAAAGGGAAATGCGGAGTCAGCGGAGTGCGGATGGACGCGAAAGCAAATCAAGTTAATTGAAGTTAAAACTTTAAAAGTTGCAGCGGTCTTACAGCAGCGCTCACTAACTGCCATTGATCGCTCAGTATAAAGAAGCCTATACTTATACCTACGCCCATCCATTGTCAGCTCTGATGTTGGTGTGAGAGAAAATAGATACATTATTTAGTTAAAACCGTTTATCGTACAGTGGCATCATCTGATTGTGTGTTGTTGACGTCTCTGACATCACCGTCACCTGGTGAAATATAGAATCAATTCCCCATGGACAATAATAAATAATTTCTCTATTATTTACATTGTCCAATATAATCCAATGTGGAGTGTAAAAACCCACATCAGATGACTTTAAAGACCTCAACGCTCATTCTCTTATGTTTTGGGCTCACGAACTTTTAGTAGGTATACCTACCTACCGGGGGACCAGAGCAAAAAATCATTGATTTAAAAAAAATCTCATTTCGGTGGTATGGACTTTTTCTCCGCGATAAATAGGAGCAAAATATTAGTAGAAATACAAATAATCTTCGTGTTTGAGCTAGAGGCCTAGAGCTTAAAGAGAGCTAGAAAGTGTGAAGCTGGTGGCGCCGCTCTCCTCTTCCGTGGCAGCGCAACCAAATTAACGTCGCTCTTTTTCCAAGTTTCCAACAGGGGACGGACGTCACGGACTGCCTGCGGACGACAAGCTAGCAAGTCAAGCTGCTCGCCCGCGTTGTTGCTCCTCTCCTCTCTGCTGAATTGCTGCTGCTGCTACAACAACTGCACAGCAGCAGCTGCTTCGCGCCAAAAGCAGTGGTTAGGGTTGGCTACAATTAAGCTACAAGTTACAAACGTACTTAGTCGGTGTGTGCTGCTTTTGCATGACTACGCTATTTATCACGCAGACACCACAGTGCTTGCTGATGTTATCTGTTAGTGCGATGCCAGTTTTGTAGCGCCCTGCTCTGCTAGTGTGCGCAGCGTTCCCCGCTGCTTGCTAGTTGGAACACGGACAGGACGGACACTCGGTGCGGTACGGGAAATATATATATATTTCTTTCTCGCACTATATATCTGTCCCCGTGTGGTGCGAGTACCAGCAACTTCACCATGGATACCCTGGAGAAGAGCCTCGTGTGCCGGCTGTGCGGCAAGCACTGCCAAATTTCCGTGAACATCTTCGACAAGAACGAAAACCATGTCTGGAAGATCAACGTTATCCTGCCCATTACGGTAGGTGCAGACAGACAAACCAAGGCTCCTCTCCTTTTCTTACCCTCGTCTCCTTCATTACGGCTCGTTCGCACAAGCTCTTCTTTCATGGCGACTTACTCTGCTTACATAGGTACTCACTGGCTTGGGTACTTGTAATTTTTTTTCTTTGCCTCTTTCAAGGCATAGCGTAAATAAAACACGCTTGGCTCGCCCTCGTTCACACTCGCGTCATCCTTGTTGTCCTCGCTCGGTAGCTTTACTGTGACATGTAACGGATACGCGAATCCGTTGAATGACAAATAGGTATTTCAATCCTTTTCAGATTTTAAAAATTCGCTTGCGCTCAAATTATTCCAAAGGGATTTAGGGCTGCTTGGAATTCATCAAAAGGAGCAAGTTAGGACTTTTGCGACGCGAAAATTTTTTCAAAAGTACAACTCGTTCTCAAAAAACTAGGGTACACTTAACTTAAAGTTGCCATTTACTTTTATCTGATTGAATTTTCTTGAAATTCTATTGATTGGTGAATAAGAATCGATTCTATCGGCGCTAAGTTTTTTTTTGACGAGTCGAAGAATATATAAAAAAAAAAAGATTTCCCTTAGTTCGTCACTAAGTAATGGGATGAGAAGTAACGTGTGCCGGGCTGTGCTTTGCCGCGTATATTCTTGATATGAAAACACTAATGATCCCCACTAAAGACCTATTTACCGTTGATGTCAATTACAGTTCCCCGTGTCTATTAGCATCAAATCCACACATAAATATAAGCTCTTTATATCCACGTAAACGTAGATACACGGTTTATAATATGCACGATAATAATAGTCATACTATCCCCATACCACTCCAGGTGTTATCTGTACTATACAATATCCACGTATTTACGTGGATTTGGAGCGAATAGACACGGTGATTAAACTTTTGGAGTCCAACAAGTACATGTTTTTTTAATTTTGTAGTAAGTACTACTAATCAACTAATTCCGCAGCTATTAAAAGTGTGGATTTAAAAATGTGTGTATTAATAATATCATTAGCTCAGGTGTACATATATACTTATTCTGTACTTGAGTATGTTGATCGAATTTCCGGACGCGACTACTTGTTACAAGTACAGTCAATGTTATTGTTTGACATATTGGTCGTTTCTTATTGAAGATCAATATTAGAATTTTTTTTCCACATGAATATAATTTCACTAATATCCATCCAACAGAGTAAGATATGACTAAATTTAAAATTACAATATATTGTTAAAAGTAGGGATTATTAGTAATTAGAAAAAAATTAAATACTCAAGTATATTCTTTCTATTGCATCTTTCTAACTGAGATATCAATGGTCTCGGGCCAAGTATTCACTCGATTAACTGAAAATAAACAAAAATAAGAATTCTGTAAGCATTTTTCTAAGTATGAAATGGTCAGAATATGTAAAATTATTTTCGCAACAACTGTATCTTGGTGATGATTATTTTATATTTTTATTGCTGGACCTCTTAAATTTTAATGATTTATGATTTCAGGTATTATATTTTATCAAGAATATACGATGTTTTCTCTTTCATTGAGATAATGAGATGAACATTCCAAAAGTGAACTATTCTTTTTTTTTTAATAATAATTGTTGGTATGCTTTTTTTTCCTTAGTAGTGCAGCTAATCAACATAAATATCAAAATGTATTGAACTGATTTGATTGTGATTGACAAAAAAAATTTTCAATTATTCATCACTCAGTTATTCCTGTAGGCAGTAAATTGCTATAGGGAAAAAAAAAGTCCAAGTCTTATGTTTGATATTCCGTGTAACATGTTAGGTGCTTAATCTACTACTTACATCCAAATTTGTAACATTTAGTACAATTGCATTAAATTATGTTTGACAATAAAAAAAAACTTCTTTTTGTAGGTACACGAAATGGATTTCTTGCCAAAACAAATGTGTCACAGATGCAGTTACAAGCTCGAGGAATTCTACAATTTCTATGCAGAGTGCGTGAAAACAGATACTGACCTTAAAAATCAATTATCTTGGATGAGGAAAGAAACTTCGGAAGAACAAATTATCACCCCTATGGTGAAAATGAATCCATTCAAAATAAAAACTGAGCCACCTGACTGTAACGACTCCAATTCAAGTGATGTTTTTGGTCATATTAGCAGTTATGGTTCATATGCAAGTCCGATATTAACATGTTCACGCTGTCGATGCCTTTGTAATACAGCTGTTAAAGTAAGTGAATCTCCTACCGAAGTAAAAGCATTTTCTAAAGGAATAGGAAAGCCACTTAACTCGAACGTTAATAATAATAATTTGTGCGGTAAAAATGGTGAATCTAGCAAATCTGAAGATGTAAATAAAAATTGTGAAACCAGTGAATCAACGGATAATGATTGTTCTAAAGAAAATATTGTTATCGAGAAAGAAATCAATACAAAAGAAAAAATTCCTTTGGTAGTCATTAACAGTAGTGAATGCCAATCATCGCAAGATCTAAGTGATGCTACAAATAGAGCTTTGAGGCCAAGAAAAAGTTCAGTTAATTATATAGGTCAAAAGAAAAAAGTTGCCCACAAACTAAAAGAGAGGTTTAAAAATAAAGTGGATATATGTCCTACAGTAGTAGATCCAGTTGAAGTCAAAGTGACCATTAATTCTTCGCGTCATTCTCATCCAGTTATAAAATTAGAAAAAGTGGATGACACCTTGAAAAATTTGAGAGCTCGTAAAAACTTGGAAGAATTTAACAAAAAAATTAAAGAATTGGCTCAAACTAGAAGACGGCTCGATGAAGATCTTAGAAATAAATTTTTACGAAGATTAGAAAATAGAAGTAGAAAAAGCTTTCAAAAGGATGAGAGTCGTAAAAAAAAAGGCTTACTTAAGGAAGAAAAAGTAATAAGAAAAAGTCTACAATTGGAAGAAATTCAAACTTCAAAATATTTTACTGATGAAAGTAGAAAAAATTTAGAAGCTGAAAAAATTCAGAGTGAAACAACGTTATTAATAGAGCATCAAAACAGTGAAAATTCACCATCGGATTTAAATCACAGTAGAAAAAGTTCTAAAAGTGAAAAACTGCGAGATAAAGCTTTGTTAGAGAATTCAATGGATAAACCGTGTTCAACAAATGATATTTTACAAACCAATGTAAATGATAGTAGTAAACAGAATGCTGAGATACAAGTTAAGCAGGAAGTTGTGAAAGTAAAATCAACAAATCATAAAGTTTTAGATCAATCAAAAGTACAAGATAAATCTTGTGAAATTATTTCAGTGAAAAAAGCATCAAGTTCCTTATACAGACTTCCTAAGTACCCTGTTGTAAAATTAGAAAAAGATTACACATGCAATGTCGATTACCCCAGAGTAAAAATAAAAAGACAATTATCTGTGGCTGATCCAACAAAATTAGTCAATGGTAATGTAGACTGTCCTGTAGAGAGTCAAATTGTATCAAATGATAAAACGAACAAAAAATCTCACAAAAAGAAAAAAAATCTTAACCCTGAGAATTCAAAAAGGAAAAAGAAAAAATTAAAAGGCCTATTTAATGCAGAAAAAGCAGGAAAAGTGTCAAAGAAAAAAAACAAGGGGTTAAGCATTGTTCACATAAAAAAAGGAACAACTGGAATACCTTCAACAGAGTTTAAACATTTTTGCGAGGAGTGCGACACATGTTTTAAAAATAGAGAACTATTTAAATTACATCCCTGTTATCAGAAGTAAACACACATATTGGTTGTAAACTTCTATTCAAAAAGTCCAAATTGCATCCTTTTTTTACACTACTTTATTTTGTGAGTAGATCGGCGTTCCACATAAAAAAATTTATTCTTAGATTTCATACAAAATTTTAATGTTTTGTAGATGTGCACGATACCCAACGTACAACATCTAGATGGAACTGAAATTCATCAAAATTGGTAATTTTAATTTAATTCGATTTTTGTAAAATGTCGAATAAATCACCAAGTATTTAGTTATTTCTACTTAATATTAAACATACCCTTGTTATATTTTGTCAAGCAAAAGCTCTTTAATTTGCAATTTTATCAGATGATCGCTTGCAATGTGCAAAGGGTTAATTAATTTTTTCGAAATGAACTTTGGCAGAAGTTTTCTTTACGAGTGACATAGGATTTTAGTTCTTGTTATCCTAGTCATTTAAGGAAAACATTTGTCTAATCGAGAAACAAAAGTGTAAAAAAAATAGTTGTAAGAAATTAACGACATTATAGCATGCATAAAATAATTTTCTATGTACATTATTTTACGATTAATTGTAATTAGGTACTGTAATACGCAAACACGGATAAATGCACAGAATTACTGTGATATTTAAAATAAAACTAGGTTGTAAGAATTATCGAAAATCTGACTGCTTGTACATCTTTAAGGAGTGGAAAAATAATAAATTATGTATAAGAAAAAAAAGTTTGGATTTTTTAAATAAAAGATGATTTCCAAATACGTTTTTAAAAATTATAATTCTTCACCCTCGAATGACTCATCACATTTTCTCGATAGCATGAACTTTCAATTTTTACAAATACTTGAAATAAAAACATGTAAAAAAATATATACACATTTATTATGTACTATTGTATGAAGAAAGAGTATAAATTACATGTATATACATGTACATAAAAGAAACGTTCTTTCATTTAAAAATTCTTCACGTCGTATGCGTCAAATGAACAAATAAGCAGCATCTCAGTCATGGTTAATTCGACTGAACAAGGCATTGTTCTTGTGCTTTTTTCCTTCATTAATTATCAAGTCTCTTCTTCACGCTTAGGAAGAATAGTAAGAAGGAGATATAGAGAGAGAGAATTATGCACTTCTCCAAGCAGCGAAGTGCGGTGCGCCCTGCCACAATGTATGGTACCAATGGGCAAGCAATCATCATTGTCATAACGTTGCAATCGCTACTGTAGGCCTCATAGCCGTTCCTTCCTTTCCCTTAACACACTCAGGGATAAGAGAAAAATTAAGACAGCAGCACAACGAATGACAGGGCTGATGATCTCAGTCGAGCACTATATTGTACAGATACACGCTATCTGCGCACATTAAATCCTTTGGTTCCATCTGGCCCTATGGGCATCCTCGTCACGTTTATCGCTAAATTGCTCGTCCCAGGTATTAACGTTTTACTCTGTATCCTGTTGACCTCTGACACCAGTTTAATTTCTTCTGGGCTCTTTTCCTCCCCTAATATTCGCTTCCTAGCTTCTGCGTATTCCTGTTCCCTCTAGAAAGTAAGCACAAAAGTAAAAAAAAAAAAACCTCAAAAGATAACACTACACAGAAGTGTTTATAGACAAACCTGTTTTAGAGACTTAATAGGCTGTTTTGGCTTGTCACCATTGAGCAGCTGGCCTTCGCTCTGTGAATTTCTGTCAGGCCTCTTGAGTATTTTGACCGCGGGCTTGGGCGCATATTGCGTTCGCATCCTCTCGTTGCCGAGTATGATTATCCTCGTTGTTTCGTTGCGGGCTCTGCTGAAACGAAAATAAACTTTAGACTAAAATGTTCACATATATATGTACCACATACGTGTATATTATAGAGAACAGCTGTTCGTTACGTAGATATACCTGTCGTCCTCGAGTCCGTCCTCGCCGTTCACCTCGAGGGCCTTGAGCTTTCTATCTAGGGCCTGAAATAAACACGATGGATATCAAGTTAGAAAAAATCAAGATAAGTACACCATCACGCTCTTATTACTCATTGGGGATATGCGTATTTATCAGAGACGGAAAAAAAATCCAAACATAAGTATTTCACTCTCTCACCTTTACGGCAAAAGAGAGTGAAAGTTTGTTGTGTGCATAAGCAATTTGCGATTAAATAAGCATGAGCTGGACGACAAATATTTATGTGTGAGAAAAAAAATGGCACATATTAATGTCCAAGGCAAAATTCTCCCAAGTATATGTAAGCAGGTAGGTATCTAATATGCCTACATCGAGAGCTGGAGAGAGAAAAACATGATGCAAGTATAATCACGTAAAAACACAGGACGAGAGGAAAAATTTGTCTAATAGATTGTTTAAGTCACGAGAGTGTTTATACCTATACAATTTTGGTAGTTAAAAAGAGCGCGGACGAGATTTACTTTGAGGTTAAGTCAAATGGTGTGCAAGAGAGCAGAAGGTGGTCAGGGCGCGCCCGTGCACATAGAGCCGACGGCAGCTGGTGGGTCAGGTATTTATGAACTTACCCCTGACTCTTCCATCTCCTCCCAGCTATCAAAGACGTCGTCAACGGCTGACATTTCTAGGGTAGGAAGGACACACGCGCGCTCACTGTGTAACCTTTGGCATGTGTCTCTCTCTCCCGAAGCAGCTGTGGCTTTCTCCTCGGGAAGATGCGAGAACCCCCCGTGTCTCCCTATCCCAGACGATGATGACGACAACTGCTACCTAGCTACTATAGTACTATACGTGAAATAACCAGCTGCAGCAGTGACGAGGAGAGAGCGGGTGGAAGACATATCGCGAAAACGCGGACCCATCGACTCTCGGCAACCGATAACACAAACACACGTGGATAACAAATAAAATTATAGGTTACCTTTTTATCCACGGAGCAAAACGTGCACGCGCGCGAGTGGTAATTTTCAGAGAGAGACAATTCATATGAATTAAGAGATCATTAATTGTTGTATGATATGTACAAAAAATTGTTAAGATGATTTAATTTGTTCAAAAGTTGTTATTTAAAAGTCTAAACTTTTTAATTGGTTTCAAGAAGCAGTCACACGAAGAGTCTCCTAGGAATGGAGCATCGGATCTCACTAATTGAAAAATACATTTATTACAGAGATGTAAATTTTAAGTGTTATAAGTAAACAAAGAACCCAACCTTCTCTGATCAAGTGAGATCCAATGCTCCATTTTTAAGAGACTTTTCGTGTGACTGTGCTTCTTTTTCAGGCCTTTTTTCTTCGGTTGTCTCTTTTGGACAAAAGGTCCAGAGTATTAAAATTTTGTGAATATTATCGATTTTATAAGCACATTATGATAAGTAGAATATTTATACTATTGGAGGTCGATTTTAAGGTAAAAGATAAATTGTAAACTTGCCGCAAGCAGCACAAACCTCGTTAACTTTTTATTATCTATCTATAATATTTGTTGCGGCTGGTTTATAACTGATAAAGTGACTTTACTGTAAGTAGCAATAATTATTTTGGATCAGCGCCATCTAGCGGTCTTTATTTTTTGGCCAAAAGTGGCTCCTAAAATTCTTAATCAGAGCAATCAGAATTAGAGCCATTTATTCAATTATAAACCAGCCGCAACTCATGATGAAGCTATAGAATAAAAAAATAACGATACGTGTGTTTTTGGCGGCAAGTTAACATTCTATTTTCTACAAAAAAATTGACTTCTATGTATTTATACTTTTGAAGATAAATTTTCAAGCATAAGATAGATTGTTAACTGGCCGCCAAAAACACATGTATCGTTATTTTTTTATTTTATAGCTTTATCATGAGTTGCGTCTGGTTTATAATTGATTAAATGGCTCTAATCCTGAATGCTCTGATTAAGAATTTTAGGAGCCACTTTTGGCCAAAAAATAAAGACCGCTAGATGGCGCTGATCCAAAATAATTATTGCTACTTACAGTAAAGTCACTTTTTCAGTTATAAACCAGCCGCAACAATATTTATAGATAGATAATAAAAAGTTAACGTGGTTTGTGCTGTTTGCGGCAAGTTTACAATATATTTTGTACCCAAAAGTTGACCTCTAAAAATATAGATATTCATATGGTTTAATAAAATCGACCAAATGGCACTACTTAGTAGTGATTACTTTAATTACTACACATAACTGCACGTAAGTACATCTTACACCGTACTCTCTTTACCAGAATGATAAAATCAGAGGCTGTAAAGTTACGCATATACATACATGACTCCCACTGTGGAAGCTGGAAAAATGTGTCCCGTAATCAGGTCCGACTCCGGAGCCCGGTGTGTATAGGATGCAGTTGGGTGTAAATTGTGCGTATATGTATATATATGGAAAAACCGCATCTCAGATCTCAGTATGACCGCATGACCGCACACGGCGCACACCGCTCCGCCTTTTTATTTATACTCTCAATTTTTTTTTTTTTTTCTTTTGATACGAATTTTTTAGGGCACAATCTGCAGATGAGATGGATCGTATAACAAATGGATCGTCAGTCAGATGATAAGTGGAGTTTTAGTATCGGGGCAGCTGTTGGATTGAGACGAAAAGCTCTCTCGTCGTTCCTCTCTGTTGATGATACTTTTTTTTATATATTTCCAATATAGAAGAAATGACTGAGATCGAGTGGTATGTTTTTTTTGTTATTTATTTTTTAAGTTTGAAATTTATCACTCAAATTTTATAATTTCACAGGTTTGCAAGACCAGTTGATTATGAAGTGGTAAGGACTGTGGATTTAGAAGAGACAGGCGATCATCCACTCAAACCTGTCACTGTCACGGTAATCAAATGTTTCTTTCTGAATAAATAATTCTCTCCATACTGAGTTTTGCATAGTTTTGTCATGAGATAATAAATTATTCAGGTCATTGATGGAAAAAGTGGTATCAGGCGTAGTACTTTGAGAAGTGCCACTAGTACCAGTTCCTCCACAAGAACTCCAACACCTACGCAAACAAATGTTCCTGTCAACGTTACTTCATTTGGAGATCCTCTGTCCAGCCACTCATCATTTGATGGCTCTGATCCTCTCACGCAGTTTGTCAAGGAGGAAATGGATCCTCTTTCTAAAATGGCTTCGGACGAAGTAAATTTCTGTCAAGTACTGAAATTCATTGGAAATATTTATTTTTAATTATGAATATTTTACAGTGGGACTACTCAGCTAATGCATCAGCTATTGGTAGAAAAGCGAAAGACAAAATTGATGAATTAATCGAGCCGTGGTCATCGAGACGTATTGCCATTCTCAATAAGTACACAACATTAGAAAAGTTATCTATTGTTACTAGTTTTTTACCTGGTGGAGAAAAAGGTACTTTCTCGTGCATATAATTATTATTAAACGTTTTCTCATCATATTATTATTATTCACTTGTTAATTCTCCTTGTAACTGCAGTCATAATGAAAGTCCAACCAAGCGGGTCAGTAGTGGACAAAGTCAAAACAAGACTAGAGCAACTAGATGACTTTGAGGATGGTTCAGTGAGACAGATGCACGGTCTAACACAGCAAGAGTACGTGGTAAGAATCGAACAGTTAAATAATGAACTTGTAAATGCTTGGAACTCCGATCATCGTGTCAAGGCATTAAAAATCGCCATTCAGGTAATTATTTAAAGATTGTTGTACAGCTGGTTTTTCTTGTAAAATTTTTTCGTATTTTTCTGTGATTTGAAACTTCTTTTAGTGTGCAAAATTATTGGTAGATACCTCAGTGACATCATTTTACCCAAGTAAATTTGTCCTTATCACAGATATTTTGGATATTTTTGGTAAATTAGTATTTGGAAGGTTAAAAGTAAAATCAGAGTACATAAAGTACGTTGTTTTAATAGTTCTTTTAAAAATAATCACATGTTAAATTTCGTCATAAACTTTTAATTAATATTTGTAATTGTTAGACCCGGAAGTAAAACTCCAACAAGTTTACCAGATAATTTTACTCCTGACATGGTACCAGAAAATGCAAAAGAGACATGCCAAAATTGGTTTTACAAAATTGCGTCAATAAGAGAACTTGTACCACGTCTTTACGTTGAAATGGCAATTATAAAATCATATAGTTTTTTAACAGCTGGGTAATTCCAGTTATATATATAAAAAAAAAAATTTTCATTATTTATTGCAATTGTGTTACTACAACTATATATACTTTTAGTAATTTTAGCGCAGTTTTGATACGCATAACCAGAATGATTCGGGGAATCGGTGATCCATTGGTAGCCATTTATGCCAGGTGTTATCTGTGCCGGGTGGGCTTTAATTTAAAAACACGTGACATGGATTACGTGAAAGAAAACTTGTACGACTTTCTCTTTACGTACAAGCAACTTTTTGCTCCATCCATTGAAAGTTATTTGGATAAGCAAAATCTAGCTCCCCACGCGTATTTAAATCTTTACACACCTGCATTAGACTGGATTTTACAAATCATATCTGCTACAGACAATGAAAATCTTTTGACGGAGGTTCTTAATCGATGTAAGCAACAACCCAACAGGTAAATCTTGCGTTGGTATCCCAACAAATGCCCGTAGCATTCAGTCTATGAAGCGAATTAAAATTCTAAATACTGTTCTTCCAGTGCGCTGTTGTTGAACGCAATTTTAAATTCCTACAAATCAATGTATATAGTACCTCGATCGATGGAATTTCTTAATCTAATCGAAGCATGCCAAGACAATGGTAAGAAATCTTAAGAAAATAGTTCTTACAGTGCAGTATAAAGCAACATTTATTTTACAAATGCTGCTGGAGTATTATTAAATACATTTTGTATACACATACATTTATAAATATATTTGGATGTTCTCTGCTAGGGTACCCACAACATTATTTGTACAGAAGTCTGGGCGAATGTTTGATACGCGAGGCGCCATCCAAAGAAGAGTGTCAAGTGATTTTGAATTCTGTATGGAAGTATATGAAAAGTTTGAAGGAATCGTCGAGATTCATGCACACAATGGAAGTGTGGATACAGTTTGCTGTCATTCATTTTTCGGTATATAAATAATTTAAAATTTAAGAAATTCTTCAAATCGATTTATTTATTGTCACACATACATTTTTTTTTTCTTACGTCATTAACAGGCTAGTGAAATTAACTTATTTTTGGGCGAAATAATCAATCACTTAGGACCGAGTAGAACGTTTGAATATTTTTATCCGCAGTTGCAAAATATTGCCGAAAAAATTGTTGCCTATACTCAAGATTTCGATTCGCTTTTAACAATGGTAAGATTTTTTGTTTTTTTTTGTTTTTTTTTTTACATGAGTAAATAAACATTGTATATTGAATTTTTACAGATAATTTTACATATAATAACGCGTTTATTGAATTTTTACCATTCACAGGACAACTTTTTACCATTACTAGATCTTTTTCAAAAGGAAAGCATCAAAGTTGAAGTTTGTAAAACAATCGTAGAAAGCTTGAGTAAGCAAAACAATCCGATTGTGGATCCAATCATGATAAACGCTCTTATGTTCATAATGAGGGTAATGCACGACTCGGTCAGGTACATACTTTTTTCTCCAACATTGATTACTTACACGTATGACATGCATATAATGACGAAACATTGTAGCGCACTTACAGTAGAAGACGAGAAACGACAAATTGGCCAATTGATATGTGGGCTCATTCTCAGGGTCGATTACGGTCGAGATTTCGAAAAGCAACTGAATTTTTACGTGGAAGCCCGGGCTGCCTTTCATAATCTCGACGTTGTGCATGCTCAGCTTGTACAGGTAAATTGCTCGAAAAATTATATTTTCTAACCATTACTTGCAACCATCTAAACACAACTGGTCTGCTCATCAGTGTGTAAATAGATTATCCGTGGATACGAGAAAAATAGTTCGAGGCCACCATACCAGAAGAACTTCTGCGTTCGTGAGAGCTTGCGCTGCATTTTGTTTCATCACGATACCCTCGCTAACTGGGGTTCACACAAGACTTCAGTTGTACTTATTGTCAGGGCAAGTCGCTCTTCTCAATCAGTGTTACGGTCAAGGTGAGACGGTTTGTTTTGCAGATCGTTTTATAACTAACTTTGTAGCTGATAAACTTGAAAATATCTTTGACAGCCGATGCGTGCTTCAAGGCAGCCTTGAGTTTGGTGCCGGAAATGCCAAAAAATCTGGAAATCGATGGAAGAAACCAAAGTTCGGAACCATACTTGCTCTCTTACCTCTCGAATTTTCTCTCTACTCTGCTCGTAGTTCCGGTATGAGATATTTATCATTCGTGGTTCTTTTATTACACGTTGATTCGATTCGAGATAATCAAATACATTGTTCGTCCTTGCATCAAATTCGTCAACAGGATAGTCCAGAACACGGAGTTTTGTATTTAATGCGAGGCCTTCTCAATGCGGTTCAGCGCTATTTTGACGACACTAGCATGACCAAGTCTCATCTTTACTTACGCGTACTCGATCTTTTATCCACGATAACACAAGATTGTTATCCTTACCACATAGATAAGGTAAGAGTACGGAATATTCGAGAATGGTATCCCATTATTAATTGATTTTTAATTTTTGGCACTTGCAAACAGGTCGATTCCAACGATAAACTTTACGGATCCGATGAAAAATTCGTAAATGAAGTCAATAAAATGTGTTCGAAAGTTCTGGAGGAACTGTTGAGTCACTTGAAGCTACTCGGGCAAACTGAGCAGTTTGAAAAACAAGCTGGCCTCGCTCTCGAGCTCTTTGTACACGTGATCATCAGAGCGGATTTGACGAAACCGTCGATGTCGCACATCGCCGTTAATTTGTGGAATTTATCCCAAAAGCACGGAGCACTCGATCAAAAAGTTAAAGTACGTAACACGCGACCATTAAAATACGTACATGTACGTCTATGTGTATTTTTTCTTACATCTCTATTATAATTCTTTTAGATAAAAACATTGGAGTATGTTGTACGAAAGAGTCAATCGCCGGAATTCGAACACATTGCCGAGATGTTGAAAAAAATGTCAAAGTAGGAACAAGGAAGATTTTTGTACAGCTGATATGTGTAAGTGTACAGTGCAGAATGTTAACTGAAGGCTTCCTCGAAGGACCAGTATTACACGCATAAACACGCCGTCGATATTTGGTTGGCGGCGTCCTTACCGAAGAGAAAATGAAGGAACACTATTTGTAAGAATATTTGTATTTGCTGTGAAACGCTTTTTATACGTGTAAAATGTCGACGAGGCTGATACAGCAAGAAGTTGTAAATTATACCTTTATACATATAAACGAGAAAAAAACAAAAAACAAATACAAGCTATACAATTCGCAAGCTACACTGCAAATCAATCTTCCCTCAAACAAAATTGACGTAAAAGAAAAAAATAAAAATAAAAATCAAAGTTACGGATACGATCCAATATATAATCACAGGGAATGCAAAAGTATGAATACAGAACAGTTGCCAATAGAAAATTGAAATTACAATCTCTCACAGGTACACCGACCCGGGTAGCCCCGGGCCTGCTCTCGCTGCGCACGTGGAAGACTTGTGTGATATTATTATTATTCTCTGTCTCGTCATTTCAAATGCTTATCCCTTCAATACTGAGCGAAGGTTGTCCAGGAATATGTTGGCGTGGTGCTCGGTGAACGTGAGAGCCGGCCTCAGCCGTACGGCGCAGTCACCGCAGCCTCCCGCTTGAATACCTGCAAGGGGATTATGCGTTGATTGAATTTTCCACAACCGCAGCCACACGCGTCCAGAAGGTCATCCCTACCTCGTTTCAGAAGCTTCTTGATCGTCGCGTCTCTGAGCTCCGAAGTGGCGCAGTTGAAGGCGATGAAGGTGCCCTTGCCCCGCGACGAATTCATCGTCCCCGAGAACTCGTTCTCCATCTTCCTGAGCTCGGCCAAGGTGTAATCGCCGACTCGGGTGACCAGGTCCAACAGGTTGTCCTTGAATATCACGTCAACGACCGCCTCCAGGAGTAGCAGCTTGCTCGGATCGCCCATCCAAGTGTTGAAAACGCGGTAGGCTTGCTTCGGTCTGACGCGAGAAAAACGTGTTTTTTTGTTTTTATTCCCAAGCTTTTTTTTTTTTTTTAGTACAACCGGGTGTGTATACAAACGTCAGTACTTCATCTCCTCGAGGTGGTAGTAGCCGCCGAGCTGCATCTTCTTGCTGAAGGTAACGATGTGGGGCGGTGACTCGAGCTCAAAGTGCTCGTGGCACCACATCTTCCCGGTCGGACCGCCACCGGTTTGGACCTCGTCTATCAGCAGGGCCGCTTCGTTCTAAATTCGATCACCCGTCGTATTCACTCTTTTAACTGGAGTTTTTATTTTTTATTTTTTTTTTTTTCTTCAGTTTTTGGCCTACCTTTTTGGTGATTTGCTGCAGTTTTTGGAAAAAGTAGTTGGACCCGTGGTTGTCGCCACCCTCGGCTTGGATCGGCTCGACTATGACGCCGGCCACGGGAACTCTTTTCTCCTTGCTGTACGTCTCGAAGAGCTCCTCGATCTGCAATCATTAATTGTTATTCTGAGTTTTATTCTGTCGGAAATGGAAAGAAAAAAAAACCACCTATTTTAGGCACGATATTTAATTATTTACATTTTTCACCGCCAATGTGTGCTCGGTAAATGACCTACTAACATCGATTCATCATACATTTTCACGAAACCTGCACCCAACCATAGCCATACTTTGCTGATGATCGAGATAAAAATAAATACGACAAAAACTAATATCATTTAACAAAATCACTTTGTCATATTCCCCAATTGAAATAAATTGAAAGAGACGATTGTTATTAAATATATATATA